ACCACGACAGAAGAAAGAGGAAGGACGAAGGTCGTCCCCTATGCTTTTGTCATAGGCTCCATACGGTATGCCATGCTGAGTACCACACCTGATGTGTGCCTTGCCACATATTTGGCAAGAGGGTACAAAGGTGATCTAGGAGTAGATCACCAGATGGTGGTCTAAATTATCCTTAGAGGAATAAGGATATGTTTCTCGGTTATGGAGGTGATAAAGAGTTCGACGTAAAGAGTTACGTCGATGCAAGCTTAACACCTATCCGGATAGCTCTGAGTAGAGATACCGGATACGTATAATGGAGCAACAATTTAGAATAGCTCCAAGTAGAACAGTTATTTGAAATGGCTCCAAATGTAGCATAGTAGTTGCATCTACAAGATGACATAGAAATTTGCGAAGTACATACGGATCTAAATGTTGCAGACCCGTTGACTGAAACCTCTCTCACAAGCATAACATGATCAAACCCAGAACTCTTTGGGTGTTAGTCACATGGGGATGTGACCTTGAGTGTTAATCACATATCAATGTGAACTGGATTATTGACTCTAGTGCAAGTGGGATACTGTTGGAAATATGCCCTAGAGGCAATAATAAATTGGTTATTATTATATTTCCTTGTTCAAGATAATCGTTTATTATCCATGCTAGAATTGTATTGATAGGAAACTCAGATACATGTGTGGATACATAGACAACACCATGTCCCTAGTAAGCCTCTAGTTGACTAGCTCGTTGATCAATATATGGTTACGGTTTCCTGACCATGGACATTGGATGTCGTTGATAACGGGATCACATCATTAGGAGAATGATGTGATGGACAAGACCCAATCCTAAGCCTAGCACAAGATCATGTAGTTCGTATGCTAAAGCTTTTCTAATGTCAAGTATCATTTCCTTAGACCATGAGATTGTGCAACTCCTGGATACCGTAGGAGTGCTTTGGGTGTGCCAAACGTCAGAACGTAATTGGGTGGCTATAAAGGTACACTACAGGTATCTCCGAAAGTGTCTGTTGGGTTGGCACAAATCGAGACTGGGATTTGTCACTCCGTGTAAACGGAGAGGTATCTCTGGGCCCACTCGGTAGGACATCATCATAATGTGCACAATGTGATCAAGGAGTTGATCACGGGATGATGTGTTATGGAACGAGTAAAGAGACTTGCCGGTAACGAGATTGAACAAGGTATCGGGATACCGACGATCGAATCTCGGGCAAGTATCGTACCGCTAGACAAAGGGAACTGTATGCGGGATTGATTAAGTCCTTGACATCGTGGTTCATCCGATGAGATCATCGTGGAGCATGTGGGAGCCAACATGGGTATCTAGATCTCGCTATTGGTTATTGACCGGAGAGGTGTCTCAGTCATGTCTACATGTTTCCCGAACCCGTAGGGTCTACACACTTAAGGTTCGATGACGCTAGGGTTATAGGGAAAGTATGTACGCGGTTACCGAATGTTGTTCGAAGTCCCGGATGAGATCTCGGACGTCACGAGGAGTTCCGGAATGGTCCGGAGGTAAAGATTGATATATAGGAAGCATGGTTTTGGCCACCGGAAGTGTTCCGGGCATCACCGGTAGTGTACCGAGACCACCGGAGGGGTCCGAGGGTCCACCAGGTGGGGCCACCAGCCCCGGAGGCCTACATGGGCCAATAGTGGGAAGGGACCAGCCCCTAGGTGGGCTGGGGCGCCTCCCACCAAGGCCCAAGGCGCCTCCAAGAGGGGAGGGGGGCAAACCCTAGGGCAGATGGGCCCTAAGGCCCACCCCATGTGCGCCTCCCCCTCTCCCCCTTGTGGCCGCCACCCAGATGAGATCTGGGGGCTGCCGCCACCCCTAGGGAGGGAACCCTAGGTGGGGGCGCAACCCCTCCCCTTCCCCTATATATACTTGAGGTATTGGAGGCTGCAAGACACACGAGATCCTCTCCCTCTTGGCGCAGCCCTACCTCTCTTCCTCCTCGTCTCTCATAGTGCTTGGCGAAGCCCTGCTGGAGTCCCGCGCTCCTCCACCACCACCACGCCGTCGTGCTGCTGCTGGATGGAGTCTTCCCCAACCTCTCCTTCTCCCCTTGCTGGATCAAGGCGTAGGAGACGTCACCGGGCTGTACGTGTGTTGAACGCGGAGGTGCCGTCCGTTCGGCACTAGGATCATCGGTGATTTGAATCACGACGAGTATGACTCCATCAACCCCATTCACTTGAACGCTTCCGCTTAGCGATCTACAAGGGTATGTAGATGCACTCTCCTTCCCCTCGTTGCTAGATTACTCCATAGATTGATCTTGGTGATGCGTAGAAAATTTTGAATTCAGCAAACATTGCAGCTAGGCTATCTTTAAGCTTTTTTCGCCCAATTTCAGCCCAATCTTCATCGGATTACCCCCCAATACTTTTAGACTCTTTCGGTAACGAGATGTCATCGAAATTCTGTAATTGTGCAGGGGCAACATGATATGCTACGTTACTAGGAAAAGACACATGCGCTCTGGTAGAATTCTCACTTATTCGGCCATGAGCATGAAGGCGCGGAGCCGAATTATGAACATCTACAATTGCATATGGTGCCGAAAAATTAGTAGCATGAGGTGTAGCATACGATGTTTGAGGGTAATTGGCCGAATAACTAATAGTAGCATGGCCAATTCCCCTATCCACCGACATGTTTGGATTAACATGTTGCAAATTAGTTGTCGATGAATAAAAAGATGAAACACTATGTTGCATGCCATTGAAAGTTCCTATATGGGGTGTTTCAACTTGATTAACCGAACTCATCATGTTGTTCATCAACATATAGATTTGTGGGGTTGCCGATGCATGGGAGTTGGGATACATATGTTGCATGTTGCTAAAATTATATGAAGTTGAAGCATGAAGGTTATTCTGAATCGGCTGTTGCATATAATTAGAGGCGTCATTGATAAAACTAGGGCTAGCCGATACAATATGCTCATTAAACGATCTAGCAACAACATATGCATTATTTGCATCTACAAAGGAGAATTGGGTATTTATATTATCTTTGTAGATCACAACTTCTTAATGACGATATCTTCGTAGCAAGAACGGGCCGAAGACCATTCAAAGCTTCGGTCCCCAGCAGAGTCACCAAAAAGTGTGTTCGCACATGAACACGTCACCGTGTACCCTCGACGTCGGGCGTGATGCACCGCAACTCACGTCGAAGGAGACCCGTCCGGAAGCGCGGTACGCAAGCAATCTGGCGGGCGCTTTTGAAGAACCAAAACCCCACGCGCCCGGTAGGGACCCCGTCAAGGCGCACGGCGGCTATGGGCTGCCCTAGGTCGCCCTGGCCGCCCCTAGGGCCTCGAGGTTCGCCGCCCTGAAATGAAGAAGAATGAACAAAGAACAAGGAAGAAAAAAACAAGGGAGAGAGATAAAGGTAAAGGTAAAAAGTGATATATTGATAGATCGATTGTGTGTTGTTCAATCGGGCGTCACCCCTTACATATATATGAGGCGGCATGTCCAAATCTTCAAAAGTTACCCTAACTTGGACTACGAGGGCTGGAACTTCCGGTCTGGCCCGGAACTTCTGGGCTCAAATTATATCAAGTAGCCCTCTTGCACTGAATCTGTAGGTCGCATACGACTCTGGATCACGATGGTCCCAAAAGCAAAGTTGTAGATCTTGCAATGGAGAAAAACTCGTCAGTCAATCACTTTTTCATCCAAGTTCATCTTGAGGTTGAATTCAGGCCCGCAAATCTGCAAGTAATGTTAAAACTCCAGTTTTCAGGGCGCACCGCGTGCAAACTTTCGCTTTAGCCCGGAACCTCCCCGGAAGTTGCCCGGAACTTCCGGGGCAAACTTTTGCAGCACACTATTTTATCTCTAAATTTTGCATACGAACTCCGATTTACACGATGTTTATATTCAAATCGACAGTTTCGACGAGACAAAGACAATTCGTGTAGAAAGTTTTCTCATATGAGACCATCTTGGGGGCGTAATCAGCCGAATAGTGTTTTGGATATTAAATCTTAGTACTTCGAACACATTTTCAGCCTTAGAGACGAGACCAGATGGCTATGGCCCAAATATCAAAGTTTCTCCTTTTGACGATACAAAACTTTCTCACTTTGAGTACTTTTCCATTTGAGGCCTTCTTAATTATGTTTTTGATCATGCCAAAATCTGGTGTCAACACCCGTCCTCCCCTCAACCTCCTCCCACTGTCGTGCTGCCGCCCCCGGTCATCCCTCTAGCCCCGGGGATTCCCAGTTTTTTCCGCCGATATTGCACCACCCCCACACCCCTAAGATAGATAATGGGGGGCCCCTGCCACAGTAAGATAGATAGTGGGGTCGCCGGCGAGCTCCTTCCCTCCCTCCGGTGAGCTTCTTCCTTCACTCCGGCTGGTCCTTCCTTCACATGAAAATCGACTGACCCAAATTCTATATTCAAGCGACATACATTTAGTTATTTTGAAAAAAATGGGCATGAAAACTGGTTTCTTTGGGCACGAGGAAGCATCGTCTCCAACAACAGCCCTAAAATAGGGCACCCAGATCAACCAAATCATTTTATTTCTGAACTAAACATTTGAACTACTTCAACCATATTTCACATTTCAAATAATGATCGACAAAAACATAGTTCAAATACCAACTATAATCATAGTTCAAATACTACATAAAACTTAGACTACCAACTTTAAACTACACATTGTCCCGGTCAATGTCGTCGGACTCGTCACTCGATGATGTTGACCACATTGCCACCTCCTCCATTCTTCCTTTTCTTGCTTTGTGACAAGGAAGGCCCTGCCTCATCGTCATTCTTGCACTTCTCGGCCTTCTTCTTCCAGTAGACTTCCCTCTCAGCTTGCACATACTCTGGATGTGCCCGAGCAAACGCCGCCATGGTGACCTCATCACTCTTATGGATGTTTTCTCACTCATCGATAACAATTTGAGGATCCTAGATCGGGCTCAACCCAATTGTCACTGGCGGACCAATGTGCTACACATCCGCCCAAGTCCCACTCTCCAGGCTGAGCTTCGAGCAGGGGGCAAGACTCCACACTGCGACATCGTACGCACGGGCGACAATGTTGGCCAACGTGAAAGTGTCGAGCCAATACTGGTTGTCGGTGTGCTGGAACACCGCGCCGTAGCTGTCGGACGGCCACCGTCGCCTTCCATTGTAGCCGAAGGAGCTCTTGCACGAAGGAGCCATGGCGGCGGGCTGGAGAGGAAGCGGCCTCGATAAAAAATGGCGGTGGCGGGCCGGAGAGGACGCGGCGGCTCTGGAAAAGTGTCGGGGTCGGCAGGGGAATTGGGCAGCAATACGGGCGCGGCGGTGTGATTCCTTAGACCGGCGGCTGTGGGACGCGGCGGGGAAGCAAATCGGGCCGTAGGCGGGTGCGGTAGCCACAGATCTGACACCGGTGGAGGGGAGGAGTGTGGTTGCGGGTGGTTGAGCGAGCGGTTGCGGGTGGGTGGGCTGCCGTTTTTGTTTTGCGGCAGCCGGCTGCGTGACACATATTTGATGCACGAGGTGCCCCCCTTTTTTGGGATGCCCTAATTTTTTTTGCAAGACTGTTAGGAATTGGCAACTATTGGAGGGTGTTTTTTGCCATCTTGTGCTCTAAATACCTTCTTATAATTTATAGGGCTGCTGTTGGAGATGCTCTTCGGTGGTTTTCCTTAAAAGATATTGTTTTCATGTCATTTATGTATTAATATTTATTGAGGGGAATGTCATTTTTTTCCTTTTCTTCTTCAAGTTTCCTTTTTTTTTACCTTTTTTTGGTATTTATTTTTAAAAATGTCTTTCTGAAAATACGTGAATATTTAAAAAATATATCAATACTTGATAAAATACAAAGAACATATTGAAAAAAGTTATTAACATTTTTCTAACTCGTGAATCTCATTTTAAATAAATATTTATTTTTTAAAATGCATTAATTTATTAAATTGTATGAATGTTTTCAAATTGTGAGAAAGCTTTAAAAACATAAGTGAAAACCTTCTATTAATTGTATGAACTTTTTGAAAATAAATGAATACTTAGAAAATTGCACCATCATTTTATAAAATTCACAAAAAAATCTAAGAAAATATGTGGGCACTTTTTAAAAGATTTTAACACTTAGAAAAAAAATCAAGAACACACATTTTTATTTCATGACAGAACTGGTACGAAAATTATTATTTTTAAGATATATAAACCCTATATTCAATTGTGATGAACATTTTAATGAAAACGTGAATACTTAACAGTTATTTTTAAAATTAAAAGAAATAAAGAGGTAACCAAAAAAAGGAAAGGAAACAATAAAACAAAAAGTTGGCGAATCCCGCGTAAATGTAGGCCAACGCTTGTTACAGTCACTTCATGGGCGAACCAAATCTACGCTCATGTGGGCGGCAGCGGATTAACACTCGCAGCAAGAAGCGTATAGTGGCGTCGCAGTCTCCATTTCGCGTGGCTACCTGGTTTGAACTAGGGCTGTGATAAAAGCTCAAGGCTCACAAGTCATTCACGATCGACTCTTTTTTTGGCTCGACTAGAAAAGAAACGAGCCGAATATGAGCGTTTTATATGGCTCAACTGAGAAACAAGCTGATCTTCAATCAAAACTAGCCCGCTCAATATTAGTTTGATAGCTTAAGATAATTCAGAAATTCAATTTGGCTCTAGAGAGCATATGCTCCTGGTCGCCAAAAATGTATTTTGCAAATGTCAAAAACATTTGGAAAAAATACATATGTTCATTGTCATGCTCAAATGCTACCTGCAAATTTTCAGGGGGAAACCATAAGCATTTTGATCTTTGCAAAAACAAAAAACAAATCGAATGTCAAATGTTACCTCCAAATGTTACACTTTATTTTTCTCAACAACAAAGCACTTTTGTTTTCACATGAAAATTTTCAAGCACGCTTTTTACACTATGATGAACATTTACAAAAAAAAATCAGAATTTTAAAATTTTATTTACTATTTGCTTCGAATTTACTGTTCATCTGGGAGCATATGCTCCTCAGAGCCAAAATGGCGCTCCCAAGATAATTTAGTTAGCATGTTGAATGATTTTATAGTATATTAGACAATACGATAACTTATAACAATATATGTTGTGTGTGTGATTTTTCTTCAATTTATCTACAAGCAGGTGAGGCAAATTTAAGCATTTATATAGTACCTGGTCAGTCATGTGATAAGTATATTATTATTTATGGCCAAAGTTCAACAACATATGTGCCTTCTTATGTTTTTTAATGTTGGTGTGGCCTATCTAGTTGAAAAATGGTTTTAAATAATAATAATAATAATAAATTGTCTTATTTAGCTTGAAACTAGCTCATGGTCGACTTGAGATACGAATGCTTTCTATAGCTCGACTTTCAACTTCACTCGGATACGGCTCACTCGAATTTAAGTATAAACTGAGCTGAGCTTAGGCCAACTCGCTCGAACCCGACTCGCTTGAACCGCTAGGCCGCTTGGCCATTTTGCACGTCCCATGAGCCAGAAGTACAAGTGAGTTCTTGTTTACCTGGAAAACTAGATGACACCCCGCGCGTTGCGGTGGGAACATGCGTGAATTGGTTGCAGTATATTATTTTGGTGAGATTTAGTTGTCTTGAATTTGAAAATTAGAGTAAAGATTTAAAATATATGTATTTTTGTATTTGGTTTTATATAATTATAAAATTAATATTAAGTAGTATCTCATATGCATGTTGAGATAAATAAAAGTAGTGGAGTTCATAAAGTGGGGTGTGTGCATGTTGAGGGAGTCAGTATATGTAGCATTTTCATGCATGCATGTTAAAAGAAATAAATGTAACAGAATTGATGAGGTGGCATGTGTGATGGTGTGTCATGTGTGCATGTTAAGATAAATAAAGTAGCGGGCATGAACTTCTTAGGCACACTCACAAGTTTCTAAGGGTTGTCTGGGATAAGTGGACAACTCTACCTACTCAACTAGTGAAGTGGTGTCGAAAAACAAGAAACAGCAATGTTGCCGCATCACTCGCTAGGGCGACTAGCGTGACCACTCATCTCGGCCACTAGGGCGTCTCCTAAAATGCTTCTCTTCCTTGCTGTTGTCGGTCGACACCGTCGTGCAAAGCCCTAGGTGGCCGACGGTGGTGGCCAGCCATCTGCCATTTCTTCCCATGTCCTCCACCAACAGCAGATGTGAAAGATCGAGAAGATAGGTCTAGAGCACTTTTGTCATGATGTTTGTTATCTCCATGTGTGAGAAGATAGGTCTAGAGCACTTTTCCCTAATTATCAAGGATATGGATGAACCTTGATATGTGTAGGATCTGAAACGTTATTGTGGATACGATATTCTTTGTTGTATGCTTAGTTTAATAACTTCCTGAATGTTGTGAAGGAGCCTCACTCAGCATTTGTGCCTTATGGTCACAAAGTATGTCATCATAAAGGGCTAGGACGTGAAGGCAATTCAAGGTGACAGTAAAAGTCTTTGCCCCTATTCTTCACATTTGACCAGAAATTACGGAGAACATTTAGAGCATCTCCAACAGCCGCCCCACGCGCGGCGTGCCCATCGCCTGATTTGGCGCGGCGGGCAGCGCTGGCTTCAGCAGCCGCGCTAAAATTTAGCGCGCGCATAGCTCCAGCAGGCGCGCTAAAATGCAGCGCGCGCGCTATCACATGAACACTCTGGACTAGGTTGCATATATATATTTTTAGATAAAACAATACATAGTTCATAGATAAAACGATACATAGATATTTTACATAGTTCATAGCATAGATAGATAAAACTACGGTGCAACTACATAAAAACTACAGTGCAACTACATACTACGGTGCAATTAGATAAACTATGGTGAAACTACAACCTACTTCGAGTCGTCCTCATCATCATCATCATCCTCGCTGGTGTTGTCCGAGGTATCGAGCCACATCTCCTCCCAACAAAGATCGTTATCCTCAAAGATCGACTCCTCACCTGCTTAAACGATATCGCACTGCGATATCGCCAGTGCCTTCCGCCGACGCCTGTCCGCCCGTTCCGCCCGGCGCTTTGCCGTAGGCGCGCTCGGCGGCGATGTCCTCCGGGTGGCGCCGGCGCCACTCCGCCATGGCTCGCTCATCCTTCTCGGCGATGAGGAGGCGGCGCTGCCGCCGACCGTGCTCCGCACGGTCCTGATCCATGATAAGACGAGGTGGAGGGGCGACGGCCTGCGCCTGCTCGTGCGTGAAGACGTCGCGGAAGTTCATCTGCGACAGAGGCCTCTCTAGGCGCCACCCACTGCATCGTACGCGCGGGCGGCCTCATGCGCGGTCGCGAATGTGCCGAGGCCGAGCTAGACGTCGCCGGACCGGATCTCGGTGTAGTAGCTGCCGCCGGGGCGCTCGAGGACGCCGCGGTAGCCAGACGATCCCCGGTGGCACGGTGGCATGGTGGCACGGTGGGGGCGGGGCGAGCAAGCGGCAGAGGGAGCGGGGAGAGCGCACGTGGTAGTGTGGAGGCCGCGTGGCGAGCGCCGCAATTTATAGACGCGCTGGAAGCGGTGCGCCAAATCTAGCGCACGAGTTGCTGCCTTTTCCCGCGCACGCTACTTTCCTGCCACCGCTGGAGCGCGCTAAAATGCCAGTATCGCGCGCGCGCGTCTTTTCGCACCGCTGTTGGAGATGGTCTTAGAGAGATTGTGTCCACGGGGTAACCCTTAAGTATCATGAGTTATAACCCTATGGGGGAGGCTATGATAGTGGCATGAGTGGCACGAAGTCTACTTTGAGTAGAATGTGTTTTGTACCCGGCTCTGCCCAACATAATCATCAACAATGGCTCAAGTACCATCGAAAAATGCCAATGGCGGCTGAGCACCAGGCCAACCGGTATCTCATCCGTCCTGGCGCCATGTGGATCCCCGCTGCCTCTGTATTATGTGTGCATCCGTTTTTTTGGGGCCGTATTCATCAACGCCGGCCCCACGCACATGGAAAGGAAGCTAGGCCTGTCGCACGCTGCTGACATGGGCCGCACAACATATCCGCACTTGTACACTGATGGGCTGTTTTTTCTGGAGGGAATTACACAAACCATCACTTATTGGGGCTGGCGTTGCGCAAAACACCTACTATACAGGTTTGTTGCGGAAAACACCATATATTGGTGTAATATATTGCAGATAGGTCTAATCTAGTATTTGGCTGCATTGACATAATTACAGACAAAT